TCCCGCTCACTGGCTGAGCGAGGCGCAGGAGCAACACCGAGGGTTGCAATCCCGTTGCCGGTCCCCGGTCCGGTACGGGGGCAACACTGAGGGTTGCGATCCGTTGCCGGACATGGAAAAAGACAAAAAAAAAAAAAATCTGTATTACAGTCCCTTTGAATCTTTGGCTGAATACTACAATATGAATGTGTTGGATGATACTCCATCAGGTGGGGCAAAGAACAGGTTCAGAGAAAAGAACAACTGTAAAGAAGCTCTGAGCTAAACAACTATCAGAACCCTCACAGTATCAGAAGATGTTTACATTCTGACCAATCAGAGTAGATAGACGTTCTTGAAAAAGTAGATAGACGTTAGTAGAAAACCAAAAAAGGCCTCACCTTAGGAGAAGGTTTACTATAGACTGGCCCTAACAAATTTTAAAAACAAACTCAAAAGGATCAAGCTAATGTATAAGTAAATTAAGTATCTGACAGAACAATATTCAAAGATCCTATATGGGATCCGAACCCGGGGCCTTGGTGTTATCAGCACCGCACTCTCCCGAGTGAGCCACTGGGCCGGCCCGGCCCTAACAAATTTTAAAAACAAACTCAGAAGGATCAAGCTAATGTATAAGTAAATTAAGTATCTGACAGAACAATATTCAAAGACGACAGAACGGTAGATTCCTTGGTTGTTTTTCTGTTTTTGTTTTGATTTTGGTGGCTGGCTGGTACGGGGATCAGAATCCTTGACGAAATTGGGGAGAAAAAAGACCAAAAAAAGTATAGAGGAACTCAGTCCTCTATAATACCAAGCAATCCAGTATATGCATAATACTTATAATCACAGAAGGAAGGGCAGAAAAAACTATTGAAAAAATAATGGCCAAAATATTTACAAATTTGATGAAAACTACAAAATCATATACAGATCCAAGAAGTTTAATGAACCCCCAGCAAAATAAACATAAAGAAAACTACTCTAAGGCATATGATAATCAAATTGCTGAAACAAAAATCTTAAAACCAATCAGAGAAAAATGACACATTATGTCAGGTCAACAACAACTAAAAACGACTGATTTTCTATACCTAGCATCATTCAAAGTGATACAAAGATGAAGAAAAGATATAAAAATGATACAAGCCAAAGAAAGATAAGAAAACAACAGACTTTCTATATCCCATTTATTCAAGAAATATAGGTGAAGTAAAGATGTTTTTAAACACACAAAACTGGGAAAATTTGTCACCAGCGAACTATAAGAAAGCTAAAAGAAAATGAATGCAGATGGAAACTGTTCTACGTAAAGTAACAAAGAGCACTAGATACAGTAAAGGTGTGAATAGATAGAAAATTCTTTTTTTCTCATTTGTTAGTTTCTTTAAATGAAAAATGAGAACTGTTTAAAGCAAAAAATAGTAACAGTGGATTATATATATAACGTGGAAGTAAAATGTGTTAACAATAACACAACAGATAGGATGGAAGTAAAGAGACTATTCTGTTTTATATGAAATGGCATATTTGAGGCTAGACTGCTAAAAGTTAAGGATGCATTTTATTAATTGAAAAGTGTTTTATGAGTCATGATCCTGTACATAGAAAATCCTAAAGATTGGGAAAAAAAGCTACTTGAATTAAGTGAACTTAGCAAGGTCACAGTATGTGTACTCAATGTACAAAAATCAATTGTATTTCTATATACCAACCACATACAATTGAATAATGATATAGAAAAGGCAATTACAAAAAAACCCACTATAAAATATTAAGGCATAAATTTTAGAAAGAATGATATGTGCAACACTCTACACTGAAAACGCCATTGCTGACAGAAATTAGAGGTGACCAAATAAATGGAGAGATGTACCATGTTCATGAATTCAATATTGTTAAGAAATCAGTTATCCCAAAATTGATCTGTATAGATTT